AATGAGAATGAGGATACGTACATTAGCTGGGAGATCATGAGAGTTGTCTTTAAGTGTGTGTTATCTGAGATGAGGCAAAGATCTGAAGAGAGCATATCAATTAGAGAAAAGTGTGAGTGCTAGAGCCCTGAGGTAGCAGTGAGGAAGCCCTGGTGCAGTGAGGAAGGGGGAAAGTGGTAGGAGATGAGGTCTCAGGGGGAAATTGAGGTTCAAGTAGGGCCTTGTTAGCCACTGAAAGGAATTTGGGGTTTATTTCAAGTTGGATGGAAAGCCACCAGAGATTTTTATGTTGATGTGGTGATAAATAATATTCCCTTAAATGTTCCCTGACATTTCCAAATACATTCAAGAGAAGCAGTAACTTCCCATGTGAGAGCCACTGATAGTCTAACCTTTTCTTGGCAGCTCATCCCTGATCCAAAACATGGACTGTTTGCCTACCATCTTCTACCTCTGCTTATTGATAATACCATTCCTCAAGGCCCAGGACACTATTGCTGTTTTCAATCATATGTGCATTTTCACACCCTTGAATCATCATAAACTTTGTAGGTACTTTTCATATGACCCTTACTAGATACTTCTGTGATAGGGAATTGGATACATTTGCAGACTTTTGCTACTTCACTTGCTCTTCTACCCAAGAAATTGCACAGATGCGTTTACTCCTCTTTGCTTTCCATTTGTGGTTACAGAAAAAGGGGCAGAATTTCAGTGATCCTGGCACACCTTCTCTCTCCTATTGTGACTCCCTGCCTCTTCTACATTCATTCCATTCTATCAAACCTGAAAAGGAAAGTGATGGTGTACAACAATACAGTTCTCAAAGAGGACAAACATACAAGGACTGATTCTTTTCTAGATCTGATGGATCTTGTTCCACAATGACCAGTCTCAACTGTGGAAATGTGAGCATTTTTACTAAGCAAACAGCAAGTTTTACTGTCAGGTGGCCTTAACATTTCAGTTTATATCCTAGGGTGCTCTAGGCCCATATTTGCAGGCCTGGAGAGTTTACTTACAATAAGTTACAAGTCTCCCTTTAGAGTGAGTGAGACTCGTCTTGGTGTTCTGAATGTTGGACTACACACAGCTCTTCCCTTTTCTCCCGCCAGAAACTTCCAGATTAAGTGTGAGCCCATCAGTGCATCTTGGCCAGACACAGCATATGCTCAGATAGACAGATTATCAACCATAAATAAATCACGGAATTCCTTAAATTCTCTACCTTAACTCTCATAACAACAAACAAATATTTGACCCCTGTTGTATTTTGAAGGATCCATAATGGCAGAGTGGTTGAGCGTTTTGTTCAACCTCAACTCAAAGGTTACCTGTAAGAATTCACCTACAAGAGTGCTGTGAGTCAGAATTTGACTCAGTGCAAACAAGCTTCCTGTTGTCAAATTTTGGGTCCTGTGCTAAACAAAACAAAGAGAAATAAAATGTGTGCCCACTTTTGAGTAATTCACTGTGTTAGTACACAAGATAAACAAAACCAACTAATAAAAATACAATAATATCTACTGTGAAAGAACAAAGAAAACAGAAACTCTTAAACTCACTGCCATGGAGTCCCTTCTGACCCATAGCAACCCCGCAGGCAGGAGAGAGCAGGGGTTCAGAGGCTGTGACTCTGTGGGGGAACAGACTGCCTCATCCTTTTCCTGCATTGTGCCTGAGCGGGATGGGATCTCTGACTAGGAGCTCTCTGATGAGAAGTTTAACCTGCTTGCTTAATCTGCTGTTCCACGAAGGCTCCTTGAGACACTAAGCACACAGCCGTACTGATTAAAAACACTGCATTAACAATGCCCAAGTTAGTCTGGGAGCGACAAAACAAGTCAATAAATATTCATGGAGCACCTCCTTCGATCCAGGCACTCACTGTGTAAGACTGTGAAGAGATACAAGTAAACTCAGGTCTTTTCTTCAGATGGTTTAGACAGAACTAGAAAGATAAGGCCAGAAAAAAATGTATACAGGCATACCTCATGTTATTGCACTTTTTTGGTGGGTTTTTTGTTGGTTTGGTTTTATGGTGTGGGTTTTTTTTAACTATTTAAAAGTTTGCTGAAATCATTCTTTTAGTAAGTCTATCAGTACCATTTTTCTAATAACACGAGCTTCCTTTTTTTCACTCTATGTCACATTCTGTTAATTCTTGTAATATTTCAAACTTTCTCACGATGCTATTTATGCACACTTAATAGACTATTTATAGTATTGTTGTTATTGTGTACCATCGAGTCAGAACTGACCCATGACTGATCAGTGGGTTTTCAGGGACAGTAAATTGCACTCCTATGGAGCAGCTGGAGGATTTGAACCACGTGCCTTTGGGATTGCAGCACAGTTTCTTACCACTAGGCCATGAAATGAGAAACTGGAGGAGGGGGTGGAAATAGTGTGGATCATTTCATTACAGTACTCTGGTATCAAATCCAAAATGTCCCTGGTACATACCTAGGAACTGATGTACACCTTTAAACAGTGCAAATTGTCAGGAAAGAGATGAAAGAAGGCCTGATGGACAAAAGAGATAAGATTAGAGGGCTTCTGGAGGCAATGACACTATGAGTAAGGCAAGAATGATGAGTAGGTGTTAATCAGGAAAGGAGTTGCAGAAGAAGAAATCTATGTCCAAATTAAGTTAAAAGAATGTGTGGCCTAGGATTGGTTCCACCACAATCAGGCTATGTTGTTAGGTATACAACAACAACAATTCTTCAAAAACTAGTCCGAATCCTGAAAGAGGCAATTACTACACAGGCGTTAGGTCAAAGATGCAATGCATGTGCAGTTTTTCCACAAAATTAAAGTGTTCTCTCATCCACCCTTTGACTTCAGGAAGCACTGGTGGTGTAGTCCATACAGAGTCGTGCTGCTAACCCAAAGGCTGCATGTGGTTCGAGTCCACCCGTGACTCTGTGGGAGGAGGAAGAGCAATCCCCTCCCGATGCCGCTTACAGTGCCAGTATGATTCATACCTACTGCGGGGTTAACTGACAGTAGGTTTGTTCGGATTGGGCAGCAGTAAGTGTGAGTTGTGAACCCTTTTAAAATAAAGCAGGCAATACCCTTTTAAAACCTTTGCTCTTTTGTTGTTATTCCAGATTTTGTTCTTATACACATTAACATACATTAATTAATATTTTATATGCTTCATGCTTCACTTCCATTGTTGTTGTTTGTTGGTATGTACCATCCAGTCGCCTGCAACTCACAGGGATCCTATGCACAACAACCTTAAACCCTGCTCTATCCTATGCCAAATCTTACTGTTTCTGGCACACCTACCCCAATTACTTCTGTTACTAACCATTTTAACTAAGCATTTACAAACAAAACTTTCATTTCCCATAGTTGCATTTTTATATCAGAGTCACAAACTCTTAAAAGGAGCATAGTCAACAAATACAACCAAATTTATGTTTGCTTTAAAAATTTGAGGGCAAAACAAATATGAGATATCATCTCACTCCAGTAAGAGTGCCAAAATTTAACAGAGCAGCAAACAACAAATGCTGGTGAGGTTGCGGAGAAACTGGAACCCTTATTCACTGTTGGTGGGAGTGTAAAATGGTGCAACCACTATGAAAGGCTGTATGAAAGTTTCTCAAAAAGTTGCAAATAGAAATACCATTTGACCCAGCAATTCCATTACTGGGAATATACACTAAGGAAACCATAACTGCTACTCAGGCGGATATATGTACACCCATGTTTATTGCGGCTTTGCTCACAATAGCAAAGAGTTGAAAACAACCTAAGTGCCCATCAACAAACAAATGGATAGAAAAGCTGTGGTATATTCACACAATGGAACATTATGCTGCATTGAAAAACAAGGAACTCATGCAATATTATTTAAAATGGGTGACCCTGGAGGACATTATGCTGAGTGAAAGATCTCAGTCACAAAAGGACAAATACTGCATAATGCCACTGTTGCAGAATGGGACTGACATCAGGGTTGGGGTGAGACTGAGAAAAATTGGATAAATAATGTATACTGCATTGAAACAGATGAGGGAGAGAACTGTTTAAAAGTGATATATGATTGGGTATTATAGTTATGACAAGAGTCCAGAATGAAGGTTGCATAGTAGAGTGTACTTGGGGTGGGAGGAGGCAGGGGATTGTATACCAATGAAATAATTTTACTTTTCAAAGAGAAGAGTGAACTGAGGGGGAGGGGTTGGGCAGGGAGAAAAAAAATGCAACAATGAATGAATGGAAATCCAAAATCTCTGTAAATGTTCATTAAAATTAATTAAAAAAAGAAATAATTTAAAAAATAGAGGGCATATACTTCTGCAAAGTAGACTCCCCCAACATGATAGAAACAAACTTATTTTTAGTATAGCTATTCTGTTTCTCTACTCTTATCTCTTTAAGCTAGTCTCTGCTTTGCAAGATCTCCCCTTGCAATCGCTAAAAAGAGTCCCTGTACCTTTAATAACAGAGACCTGGTAAGAGGTTTCTTTCCAAACTTGTTCACTGGCTTCCAAGTGACGAAACCAGCTGTAATTTGAGAGGAGAGAGATCCTCAGAATATCATTAGCCAAAGGAAAAGCTCTGCATTCCCAGTCCAGAAGTAGAAATAGTATTAGAGGGCAAGAGACTTTCTCTCTTCGGCTACCTCCATCTACCAGGAGCAAGGCAGGACTCTAGGAGTGTGGCAGCTCAGCCAGCATCTAACCAGAGCCCCTGAGGACGGATTCTCCACCCCACTGCGCCCCTGTGCAGCCAGCACATTTCCAGCCTTAGGGCACAACGCAAAAGTGCATCCTGAGCTGTTCGAGGTGCTACCACACCGGAGCTGGTGTGCACAGCCACATGAAGCCTGCTGGGGAGACGGGATCAGGGTGCTGCAAGCCGGCCAGGGCTGAGGAGTCTCTGGGCTCGAGGAGGCACTGACTTACAAGGGGACCCCTGTTCTTGTTCCTGGACCAAGCATCTTCTCCTGGGGTCCCCAGTATCCCTGAATGTCCAGAATGGTGTTTCTGAGGTTCCTCGGAATGGTTTTCTTCTGCCACTTATGTCAGGGCTATTTTGACGGCCCTCTCTACCCGGAGATGTCCAATGGGACCCTGCATCACTACTTCGTGCCCGACGGGGACTATGAGGAGAACGATGACCCTGAAAAATGTCAGCTGCTCTTCAGGGTGAGTGACCACCGCCGTTGCTCCCAAGGGGAGGGGAGCCAGGCCAGCAGCCTGCTAAGTCTCACCCTGAGGGAGGAGTTCACGGTGCTGGGTCGCCAGGTGGAGGATGCAGGGCGCGTCCTGGAGGGCATCAGTAAGAGCATCTCCTACGACCTGGATGGGGAAGAAAGCTACGGCAAGTACCTGAGGCGCGAGTCCCACCAGATCGGGGATGCCTACTCCAACTCCGACAAGTCCCTCACGGAGCTCGAAAGCAAGTTCAAGCAGGGCCAGGAGCAGGACAGTCGACAGGAGAGCAGGCTCAACGAGGACTTCCTGGGCATGCTGGTCCACACCAGGTCCCTTTTGAAGGAAACACTGGACATCTCCGTGGGGCTCAGGGACAAGTACGAGCTGCTGGCCCTTACCATCAGGAGCCATGGGACCCGTCTAGGGCGGCTGAAAAATGACTATCTCAAAGTGTAGATGGAAGGGCACACAGCCAGAGAGAGGCCCTCCCACCAGCCCCGTCGTGGAGGCTGAGGAATGGAAAGGGGGGGGAGGGGGGGCTTGCATTTCCCTTATGTTTATCATTTTTCTAGTCCAGATTTGCACTATGAGAATGCATCTGGGGTTCTCAAAAGAGGAAAAAAAGGGAGAGCTGAGTGGTTTGGGTTTTGCACATGAAACATGTGGTTGTTACTGATTTGCTGCCTGGGAAGAACAATGTAACGCAGCACCTCCTGCCTTTCCGAGGGGGCTTTCGATCTCTGCAAAGACACCTGTGGCAGCCCCATCTAACAGGACACTTGGTCTACGGTAGGAATGGCTTAAACCTCCCCATCCTGGAGACAGTCTGGAAGCAGAGCTAAAGAATTGCTCCTTTCCACGTCAGCCTTGTCTCTGGCTGAACTCTGGAAGCTGTCAAAGTTGCCTGCTTGTCAAATGAGAGCCAAGGTGCTCCTCTGCACGCCTGCAGGCCAATCAAAATTGTCTGTTCTGTCTCTTTTTTTTCTCTCTCTCTTATTTATTAACCGTGGTCTATGAGTTGTGTTTTGTAAGCATATTTGGTTAGAAAGTGAATTTAAATAAGCTTTGGAGGGACATTTCTGAGGTGCTTCTAGGGAGTGTGTGTACGTTAAAGTAGCCACATCTAAGGAGTCTAAGCTTTTGTCACGGTTACACCTGCACATTTGTGTTTTGAGTTACTTTGGAGCATTTATGTCCTTGTCTTTCATTATATGTCTATGCTTTGTCATCAGTGCCCCAGTCAATCACAAAGAAGTAGATACTCTGGGTAACTTAAGTGCTTGTAATTTAAGTTACCAGTGTATCCTTTCTCATTTGGGTGTTTGGCTTCTGTTTGCTTATCTGAAACGTGTACTTCATGTTGGGGAATTCTAAGTCTCTGATTTGTCTTTAGCTAAGTTCTATTATTTAGCCAATAAATATCTTCTCATACAATACTGGCTTATTTTTCTAATTTGAATCCGTAGCATTTATATTTCAAGGGGAGGAGGGTGAACAGAAAGAAAGAAAAGAATGGAACTTAAGCCAGTTTATTTAGAGTACTGGAACAAGAAGGCAGAGGAAAAGATAGCTGCATATTTGGCAATCCTCCCTTCCCTGACCACCCTTATTCTTTTCAAAACAAAAAAAGGGAGAAAGAAACCTCTATCCAGTGCCAGAAGTTAGCTCTCTGTTGTCCTGCTTATATCTCCAATTTTCTCCATGGTTTTTGTTTTGCTTTATTGTTTCCCCTGTACAGTCGATTAGAAAAATCACAAGTCTAAGAAAGTGGTACCATGCAGGCAGGTCATCAATAAGCAGCAGAAAAATTCCATGTCTGAATGGTAAAGCTGTGAAGATGTTTAATAATTAAGCCAGGCTTATGTTACTTAATGAATGGTTCTAAATGGTGGATATTCATTTTATTCTATGTCTTTCCTTGCCTTAATCCTGACCTGTACCTTAAATGTGCCTTCTCTTTATCTTTCTCTCTCACAAACACACAGGCATGCACAAAAATAAATACATGTCTATATTTGATTGTTTGAAAATGAGCCATTATTTCTCTCCCGTGTATCAGGCATTTCCCATTCCTAAACAATGCCTGAGGAGCTATGGTGCCCTAGTGGATAAGGAATTGCACTGCTGGTGCAAAGGCAGGTGGTTTGAATCCACCAGCAACATCACAGAAGAAACATGGGCAAGATGGGCAATCTACTGTGTAATTTACTGCCTTTGAAAACCCAGGGAAGGTCATCAGTTAGTTGGTTTTGACCTTACAACATATAAGAACAATATATGATGTCTGATATCTTCCGGTTGGAGAAATTAAGACCCCAAAAATGGTAAGTGACTTAGTCACAGTTAGTTGTCACAGGTCCAGGTACCTTAGATCTAAACTTGGGATCTCCTTACAAATGCTCATTTTTTTCCAAGATCCTGAGAGAATAACTTGAGACTGAAAAATATACATAATTACATTTTTTATTTAAATAATTTTAACTCATTACATAAGCCTTGACACAATCATTAATAATTACTTTTATTATAATAGATGCTAACTTTTAGCTGCCTCTAGACTCAAGAAGGATAAAAAGCAATTTAAAGGAATTTCCTATGTCTGCTCTACCAGGGGGGAAAAACCCCAGAAGAAACAGAAAAGACGATATTTGGCATTGCAGTGTTTGTAATTTAAAATCACAATATCTCATTCAGTTCACTGTGCTAATGCTCATCCACAAACATTTGCTCAGTTTACCCAACTATAACAGGATATTGGACCTACAATAGGAATGGAAGCCTGGTTGTAGCACACATGCTAATTCCAATCAATTGCTAATGTTTGCATAAAGTTCTCTGCCAAGAAGGATTCCAACGCCTCAGGAGTAGAGCACTGTCCCCAGTTTGAGACGTCTTCCGTGAGGACAGGAAGGGGAGGAGCATAAGGCACAAATTTGAAAACTCTGAAGAGATTATATATGAGGCTCTTTCCAGAGCCAACATTCTGTCCCTCTTTCAAAACCAGAATGAAATTATCTGCCACTGAATCACCCCATTCAAGTCTAAATGTACAGCCAGTGATCCCACAAAGTCTTGTGTAAACAACTCCAGAAAGCAAATAGGACTTTCCTGGTGGGGAGAAAAAGCAGTCCTTGAATTGCTAGCCCAGAGGCCAGCTTCACAGGGTTTTTCCAAGCCTTACAGTGGTGGGGATCCAGCCTCACTCAGATCATTCCTTCTCACTCAAATATATAATACATCTTCTTTTGAAGTAGCATAGTTGTTTTTATAAAAATTTCTTAGATTATGAAATTTTGTGGGAATCTAGAGAAAAATAGATACCCTCTTCCCTGAAAATTCTACTTGCAATCACAGCCATATGGTTTTGAATATTTTTTTTTCCCAGTAGAGACTGATCACTTAATGTCTTCCAGGCACTGGGCTGGGCTGTGAGGAATTCATAAGCCCTGGAGCTTCACCTATATGCCAGAAGGTAAAACAGTAGCTAAGTAGTAGTACTGTAGTAGTAGTTACAGTACAACTCTATGCTTTGCTCTGCTGTAACTCATGGGGTCTCAACCAATCAGGGGCTGACTTATGAAGAAAAAAAAACACTCTTTTGAGCAATCATTGTTTCTTTTCTATGAAGCTAACTGGATTGTTTGCTTTGGTACTTACAGCTGTATGGGAGAAATATTTTAATAAAAATCGTCTCCATCAAGCCTTACAATAGTATCTGATATAGAGTGAATTCTCAACTCTTACTGTTGTTTTCATTATCATTGTTTTTTTTAACTGACCCTGAGAAAGCCCAAATAATTTAGCCCTCATCTAAACTACATAATAGCTTAAAAACTCCATCATGCTTTCACTTTTAACTGAATGGAATGTACGATCAAGCAAAAGAAGAATGTGGTGCAGAGGGGAAGAATCCAGTGAGACATCTTTTTGCCTAACCTAACGTTGTCCCCTCTCAGCCAGTCAAAGTCTTTTGGCAGTACAAATGATCAACATGCTCCCCTGCTAACCACCCTCAGGTTTCTGTCCACCTAGAAGTGCTTTGGAAGAAATGCTTGGCAATGTATTTCTGAAAAATAAGCCATTGAGGATCCAAGAGAGCACAGTTTTACTCTGATACACATTATGCTATTAAGAGCTAGAATCAGTTCAAGGTAGTCAATTAGATTTGATTTTGATAGGCCATGTTCGTCCTGGAGAAGGTTAAACAAGGCTGATCCTTGGAGGCAAGGATTCTAAAACTTTGTCTGAGATACTTTGGACATGTTGCAAGGAGGGACAAAAGTCCTTGGAGAGGGACATCATGCTTGGTAGGGTGGAGGGACAGCACAGGAGAGGAAGGCACTCGCTGAGATGGATTGATTCAGTGACTGGGGTTATAGGGGTAAGTATGTCAGAGCCAGTGAGATTGGCACAGTATAGAGCAGGGATTAGGGCTGTTGCACATAGGGTCACTGTGAGTCGCAGGTGACTCAACAGCATGTAACAACGACAACATTGCCATGAATCAGGCTGAGACTGATTAGCAGTCAGACCAGATTGGCTCTCTTTTTTAGAGTTACAGACATTTTCTCTGTGAGATATATTGCTCAATAACTACTAATGCTTACACCCACCATCTGACTATGTCACAGCCTCCATATACTGATTTTGATGCAGTCAGCAGGCATCTGAGTATGTAGAATCAATTTTGAAAGTCATCAGACTGTTTAACCCTCTCCGGCAACCAAAGCCAAGCTATGGAAGCACCAGAAGCCAGCAGGTGGGGGTGTGTGATGGACAGCCATCTCCAGAGACTGTTCAACTAGTTCACACCCTTTTCACTGCCTATTAAACCTCCCTTTACAACTCTGCTAGGAGAAAGTAAAACCGGGGTGCTCCTTGGCCACAAAGATAGTGAAACTTCATCTTTCATTCTTTGAGCATGCTGTCAGAAAGGGGCCAGTCCTGGGAGAAGGAGCACCTGCCTGGAAAGGTGGATGGTCAGTGTAAGAGAGGAAGAACTTCAGCAAGATGGATTGACACAGGTAGAGCAACAAGGGGCTCAAATATGTAGGATATGGTGACGATGGCATAGAATAAGGTCATGGTTTCAATCTGTTGTACAAAGGGTCACTGTGAGTCACAGTTGACTTGATAGTACATAACAACAAGATGGAAATGTGCTCAAAATTCTCTAAAAGGAACCTTAAAACTTAGATTATAAATTATTTTAGAAAGTAATAAAACTATCTGTGAAATTTACTCAAGATATGAATTCACTCTAAGTTGCAATATGATCAAAATTCTTTGGGGAGGTGGGGGAGCCAGGTTTCTGAATATAATTAGCAATATCTTTTGCTAAAGAATCTTCATTGGATTATTGTTGGTTACCATCAAGTCTGAACGACACATGGCTGACCCTCCAGCAGATTTTCAGAGGCAATAAATCACACGAGAGGAGATTGTCCATCATTCTT